CCCCCCCCCGCCCTCCAAAATGAGGTCTGACAAGTGTCTCCACAACGCGAAGTTAGTATGAAAACGTCCCATCCTGGTGAAGCCCAGAACCGGATCAGAGCCCGAGTCCTACCTCAGTCTTCAAGTTCTCTAGCTGTGCCTTCAGCTCACTGATGTCTCTGTAGAGTTGACCAATTAAGTGATCCCTGGGAACAGAAGGGAGAACAAGTTTGCTTCCACTGCGCCTCCACCCCTTTCCTTTTAAATGCGAGCTGGGAGATCAGGGGAGGAAGTTAAAAGCTGGCGTTAATGTGGGGAAAGTGCCTTGAGATCCCATAAATTATATACTAAGACCCTCAGTGTTCCAAGACCTGAACCTAACACTCATGGGCCCACCGTTACTTCGGCCCCATTTGATTTCCCTCTGGGATCATGGGGCTGTGGGTCAAGACGTTTCTCTAGGGGGCCCACGTGTCACGAAGCATCCCGCCCCGGTTAGGTGCGGCAAGCCGGCTCCCGGCTCCACCTAGTTTCCGCACCAGCAGGCTGTGCCCAGCTCCCACTCACTTCTCCTCCTTGTTCACGCCGTTCTGACTGTTGAAATTGAAGGGGTCGCTGCTGAACGAGCTGCCAAAGATGTCATCAAACTTGTTGTCGAATAAGTTCTGTGGTGACCAAAAGGGAGGGAAGACAAAGTTAGAGACCCAGAGACTTCCGGGAAGGGGTCAGGTGAGTGACATGTGAAAAAGGACCCTTTCTTAACTGGGTTCAAATCCATTTGTGGTCCCTCCCGGGGACCAAAGGGCGGGGGGAGGGGGCTCAGTCTAGGTTAGCACTTGGGTTAGACGGCAGCTGATCTTGGTTACAGTCAAAGGGTCTTGGCCAGAGCCTCTCGCATCCTCTCCCCTGTGTGCATGGGGCAGCTGGAAGGGCCGCCCCTGGGGCACGTCACCTGCTGGGCTCCAACCCCGCCCTCCTCGGGTTCTAGTGAGGCGCTCCGCACCTGCTGTGAGGCATCCATGTCAACGAGGTCATCCTTCTCCAAGACTGGCTCGCTGTCCGGGGACGAGGCCTCGGCCGGGATGACCACCACGGGGCTGATGTGTTCTGACAGGGCAGAGGCTCGCAGGAAGTTGGGTGGGTTCTGAAGAGGGAAGACACGCCCCCGAACCGCGTCACCCACCAGGCCTGCCGGTCTCTACGAGCACCCTGGACCCGGCAGCTCCCACGGCCAGGGGGCCGGGCACGCTTACCTCCGGCAGCTGAGGGATCTGAATGAGCCGCTTGAAATACTGGAGGTTGCTTGAGCGGTAGAACAGATCTTTCAACCTGGAGGGTGGAGAAGGGCCTCAGGGGTGCTGGGCGCCTTCCCCAGCCCCGGGTTGGGGACACTGCAGCCACCCAGGTCTCCTGCTGCCCACCCAGCCCAAAGGCTGTCAAGGAGATGGCTTCCATGGCGCTGGGCTTCAATTATGATGCTACAGGGGGAAGGTCATTTGTAGCCAGTCCTCACAGGAGACAGGGATTCAAATGACCGAATCCTCTGGAGGAGTGGATCATCCCAGAACAAGATCTGTATCACCACAGAATCTACACTGTTGTCTGGCTGATGTCTCTTCCCAAGAATGTTCGGCTTAGAATAACACGAAAATAAATTTACTCTCTCTGAGGATAAACCACCTAACCATAAGGAAAGGGAAGGGAACTTAATTACTAAGGTAAATTTCCTCAGGGTGCCTGTGTGGCTCAATTGGTTAAGGGTCCGACTTCAGCTCAGGTCATGATCTCACGGTTTATGGGTTCGAGCCCCGTGTTGGGCTCTGGACTGAAAGCTCAGAGCCTGGACCCTGCTTTGGATTCTGTGTCTCTCTCCCTCTGCCCCTCCCCTGCTCGTGCTCTCTCTCTCTCTCTCTCAAAAATAAATAAACATTAAAAAAAAGTAAAAAAAAAAACCAACTAAAATAAGGTAAAAGCTCCTTTTAATTAACTCACCCTGCTTTAAAGCTGTGTGTTACCTCCCAGTTAGACTATAAGCCTCTAGAGGGCAGAGCCTGGGCCCTGCTGAGCTAGGGGTACCACAGTACCATGCACAGAGGCATTAACTCATCAAGAAAGACTTCACTGGAGGAAAGCAATCTATTTATACTGTGTCCTAATGTTGGATGGATATGGGGGTGAAGAAACCAAATATTTTTTCTTGTCTTCAGGTTCTGTCACAAACATGGAAGGCCCAGAAAGCAGAGGGCACCAGACAGATTTCCTGAGAGGAAAGAGCATCGTGGGTCTCAGCACCCTCTCTCTGCAACCTCTCTCAGAATCTCCTTCAGCTCAGCCCAATAAACTAAACCCCTGGGATCTCATGTCAGCCATTCTGACCCCAAGCTGGAACTGCCCCTGTGATGTATTGGTGCTTTCCTCCAAAGTCGATCGACAGCTGAGGAGCCTTGCTAGGTCCGTGCAGAGAGAAAGTGAGACAGCTGCAGAAGTTTTATAAGCTAGGAGAACATTAAAGGAAATAAAATCACCTGACCACACATCCCCTCTTTCTGGGCTGGAGCCAAAGTAATAGGCCACGCACTGCTTCATAAGGCTACAAATTTACCATTAGATCAGCCCAACCCTTCTCCTAATTTAATAGTCATTTATTATAGAAATAAACTTATATAGAGCTTTCAAATGGAATACGAAACCATGAGCAAAACCTGTCCCTCTGACTGTGGCCTGGAACCAGTAGGCAGAGAACCATGATTTTTGGAGTATTTTTCCTCATTGTCAGGGATGAAAAATGACAATGAGCAAAACAAGAGGGTCAATACAGGCGTGCCGAGCCCCAGCCTTCTCGGCGCCTGTTCTTCTCTCCTCTCTGTCTTCCTTCCCCTCTTCTGGGGGCACACGTAAAGCTGAGTTAGCACTTCTCAGCCTCACCAGTGATCATCTTGCCCAAATGCATAATGTATCCCCGGTTGGATAATCCTTCCTCTTCTAGACAAGACACACCCGCTTAGTAATTTATCCCAATATTTGTGGGTAACTGGCTGCCTCACATCAGAGCTAGGGACGTAAGAATGGGTAGTCAAGCTGAAATAAAGCTGTTCTAAGAAAAGAAACAAAGGCACTGGCCTGGAGAATATGGGGAGGCGGGCTGGGTTTGGGCTAGGAACAGGGAAGAAAACCCAACAATCAAGAGATTTAAGATTTAAGGGGCCTGGGTGGCTCGGTCGGTTAGTGTCAGACTCTTGGGACGTGCTCGTGGGACTCGAGCTCAGATCCCGCATCTCGCTGTATCCATGAGTTCGAGCCACAGCTCGGCTCTGGGCGCTGATGGCTCAGAGTACCGGAGCCTGCTTCCTGATTCTGTGTCTCCCTTCTCTCTCTGCCCCCCCCGGTTCTCTTCTCTGTCAAAATAAATAAATGTTAAAAAAAAAAAAAAAAAAAAGTCAGACTTTTGATTTCAGCTCAGGTCATGATCTCACGGTTGTGGGATCCAGCCCCCCACCATTGGGCTCTGCTGGGTGTGGAACCTGCACTGAATTCTTTCTTTCTCTTTCTTCTCCCCTGTCCCTCACCCCAACTTGTGTGCATGTGCACTCTCTCTCTAAAAAAATAAAATAAAATAAAATAAAATAAAATCTTAAAAGATTTAATGCCAGAGATGCCTTTGTGAGGAGGTGATGGAAGATGATCCGGAGCTGGCCAGGCTGGGAGAACATCCCCAGGAGACGGAATGACAAGCCCTAAGGCCCTGACAGAGAAATGTGCTGGGTACGTTCCAGGAACAAGAAGACCCCGTGTGGCTGAAACCTCATAAGCCCTGGAGACGAGGTGAAGATGGCAAGCAGGGCCTTGTGGACCACGGAGAAGAGCTTGGAGTTTATTCTCGGTGTAATCAGAAGCCACCGGAAGGTTCTGAGCAAGGGACTGATGTCTTCACAAGGTTGTTCTAACTGCTGGGGGAGGACAGAATAGCAGGGGGCAGCAGTGGAAACTCAGTGTGTCCGCCATATTGGAGGGTCCTGGCACACAACTATGGCAGCCAGAGAGATAGGAGCTATGACTGGAACCAAGATATATTTGCAGAGCATCAGCTGAACCTGCTGGTAGACTGGACGTGGGGGATGGGGATGAGGAAAATGGGGAGTTCCTGGTCTCTGGCCCAAATGGATGTGGCAGCATTTACTGAGATAGAGAAGACTGGGGAGAACACTTTGGGAGGAAAATCTAGAGTTCAGTTTGAGATGTAAGTTTGGTGTAGGATGTCAGACGGACAATTGGGTATGTGAGACTGGAATTCGGAGTCAAGGCCCCGCTAGAGACACATATCTGGGCGTTGCTTTTCATGTACATGGTGTAAGACCCTACGCGGTAGGAGAATGTAAGAAGAGGAAACAGAGGGTGAAGCCCTGGGCATACAGCAGGTGATGAATGGATGTACGGAATCGCTTTCTTCTACATGTGTGTATGGTTTTTATCAGAGAACAGATAGCTTCCCCAGCCAGTGGTAGCTTTGCTGCTGTCCTACTTACTTTCCCTCGCTTTACTGCTTTGCCATTCAGATACTGGTGATCCCCAATCGTTATAAAGCAAGTGCTCTGATTAATTGATTTTATAGCAGTTTTTGGATTCGCCTTCATTTCTCTCCCATAAGCCACTTACTTCGAGAACTGCTCCATGAAGCGGTCCCGGTGGCCTTGCAGGGTGTCAGCTGGGAGACCTGGAAGATATTGGAATAGAGTGAGAGGGAAGAGGACCACAGGAGGACCAGGTGAGCCACAGCGGGGCTCTGGAAGGAGGGGACCAGCCACCCTGGGGCTTGCGGCCAGTCTTGCCGGTGCGGGGGCGGGGGGAGGAGGGAGGTGGGCATTCCTGGCCTAGAGCTGCCCCAGGATCGGACACCAAGGGGCCCAGAAGGACCCGCAGGGAACCCGGGGTGGGGGGCGCTTGTCCCTCAAATCTGTCCTCCTCTTTGCTCCCGGAGTGCAAGCCATTCTGGGCACAGTGGGCTGGAAGTTGTGTCCCTGACCACAGAAGCGACCGTGGTTGACCTGACCAAGCTGCGGGACAGAAGGGATCCAGAGAGCCTGCCTGAGAGGTTGGCCGTGCGAAGGCAAAGATTGCGGACAACACTCAGGATCTCAGTCCGGTGCTTGTTCGGCCCTGCCACTGCACGATGCTGGACGAGTGGCAGCATCTAAGCGCCAGCCTCCGCCCCTACAGAGCGGGCTCTCTGAGGTCCTTTCTGCTCCCAGATAATGTCACTCTGTGTACTTCAACTACAGATCACAGCTCAGCGATCCTTTTAGTTCTTGCTTTATTCCTTAAATTTACATTTTAGTAATTTTTGGGTAGGTGATGCTTGGTATAAATAGGGAGCACATGCAAAATGTATGAGAATTCAGAATGCCAAGTATATACGGTGGATGACGATGGCACTGTACCTCCGTGATCTCTCTCCCAAGAACCCTTAGCCCCAGTCGTGAGAAAAACAGCGGACAGACTTAAATTGAGGAACATTCTACAAGTGTCTGACCGATTCTCCCCTAAACTGTCAAGGTCACAAGTCTGAGACACTGTCACGGCCAAGAAGGAGCCTAGGGGGACACAAAGACTAAATGTAATGTGGCGTCCTGGATGGCACATTAGGTAAAAACTGGGGAAATCTGAATAAAATCTGGACTTCAGTTGAGAGTCATGTGTCAATAGTGGTCCATTAAGTGTGACAAATGTACCATACTCATGTAAGATCTTGACAACAGAGGAAACTCGCTTCAAGGTATAGGGGCACTTCCTGAACTATCTTTACAACTTTTCTGTAGATCTAAAACTATTCCAAAATCAAACATTCATTTTTAGAGAAGTATATACTCTGTGGGGCAACTGTGTTTCTTCTCTTGGCATTCAGTCCACCCTGTGCCCCTCCAGGGGCGTCCACTTGCCTCGATGCCTTTCTAACGCTTGAACGTCGAATTTCCAACCTCCCTTCCTCACAGAGTTCCCAGACTAACCAGACTGAATGTCGCTTTCCCCGTCCCGTCTAAATCACCAGATCCGCATCTCGTCGGTGACCACAGTTCTAGAGTGATCCCTGTCCTTGTCTTCTAAAATTCACCCTGTCCCCTTTTCCAGGGCCATAAAACCTTGCTAGTATCCACTCAGGCCTCGACTCTTGTTGTTTCTCCATCATGTGTATATCCTTCGTGGTGAACACCTCCGAGGGTGGCCCAGAAACCACCCACATCAGTTTCATCTGGGATACGGTTTAATAACGAAGACCCCTAACCTACCAGACTGACCAACGCAGACCTTGCAGGGACAGGACCCACACACGCCGTTTTAAGCGAGAAGCACACGTGAAAGCATGAGAACATCCACGAGACTAGTAGTTTCCAAAATACAATCCACGAAAGCATCCCAGGGGTGTCTGGCTGGGTAGGGGGTGGCCCTCCGGTTGCTAGAGCAGCCGTGTTTTATATTTTTTTTATTTCCCCACAAAATGCCACTTGTAACGCTCTGGAAACCACTGTGCCCCTGCTCCTGTGGGTCTAGGCCGGGTCTGGCATCATTTGTGTGGGTCCCAGGATACACATATGGACGGAGGTGCGATAAAGCCAGAGGTAGAGGGAAAGGACCGTCCTAGGAAACCCTATGGTGAGTGGGCACACCAAAACTTGTGCCCTGCTCGTCTTCACTCTTAAGAAGGTCAGGAGCTCTAGGGCCTTTGAGAGCAGCAGGAGGAAGGGCGCTGAGGGGACCGCATTTCTCCAGGGAGAGCCTCAGGCTGCGACCCCTTTCCCGCCCCAAGCGCGCAGAGATGATCCGGCCAGGCGTACTCACAGGAGTGGAGCTTGAAGAGGAGCTTGACGGTGTAATCATACAGGTGGCTGCAGTCCAGTATGACCTGGATGAGCGGGGCCAGGCGGCACTGCCCGGCTGTCGTCACTGACACGGAGCGGGACATGTCCAGGGAATTGAACACTAGGAGATAGAAAGGGAGACAGGTGGTAGGGGCAGGAAACTGCAGGTGACCCTCTCGGAGGGGGCAGGAGACACGCACCGAGGACCTGCTCTGTGCACACGCTGGGTCATCTGGCGCGGTTACCCCTTACAACACTCCTGTGGGAGAGGAAAACGGAGGAACCGGAGGGTGAGTCCCTCGAAGGCAGGGGAAAATAATCAAACACTGATCAGAGCACAAAGGAGGGAGTAACTCAGCCCTGGCTTCCTCGTGGCTTGCCACAGCGTCTTGGGACACCAGAAGGGGACATGCGCAGGAGCCCTGGCTGGACAACTGGAGAATCTGGGAGGGCCGAGGATGAACCATCAGGATCGAAGGCTGCTGTTGGTCCTTGGGGGGCTGGCCAGCAGAAGTACTGCCCTCCACTCTCCTGAGCTCCAGACCGCATGTCATTCCCTTAGTGTCTCTCTCCACAGACCCCTCCATGTTACCCTCCGCCCCCTACCCCTTGTTCTTCTTTTCAAAGTTTATTTTGAGAGACAGGGACGGTGTGAGCGGGGGGGGGGGGGGGGAGGGGCAGAGAGAGAGAGAGGGAGGGAGACAGAATCCCAAGCAGGGTCCATGCTTTCGGCGCAGAGCCTGACACGGGGCTCGATCTCACAAACCGTGAGATCATGACCTGAGCCAAAATCAAGAGCCGGATGCTCAACCGACTGAGCCACCCAGGCGCCCCCCTACCCCCCTGTTCTTAAACCAAGTAACCGGATCCCTGGCCGTGGACCCTCCACGCACAGCAGTGGCCAGGGCCGAATTCCCTCCCACAGTGGCTGCCCACCGCCTGCGTAGACTCCACTATATGGCCAGCAATGAAAAAAAATCAGTGAGTGGGACTGCCCCGGGGGAAAGCCCAGAACTGCTGTACTCTGGCTTCCCAGACTGCTAATCCCCGTTAACTGGCTTATTCTGGCAGCTGAAAACAAAAAACAAAAAGGAAAAAACAACCCAACAGTTCTAATTAAAAGGCAGTTTTTCTTTTTGACACAAATTAAAAGCAGCTGTCACTGCAAGGCAGCCAGGTTTCCAGGAATTCCTGCCTCCTTCCAGGAATGCCCCTTAGCATCCAGTGACCTCTAGAGCAGTGTGACCACGGACAAGTTCCTCAACCTCGCTGTGCCTCCAGATGCTTTTCTGTAAGATGCAGACGGTTCAAAGCGCACATACCTCCAAAAGGTCTTGTACCTATTGAAGGAGTTGGCTTTCAGGTTGATCAGAATCACTTAGGGGAAATTTAACGCCTGCTAATGTTTGCCTGCAACCGCCCTACCTCCCATTCCGTCTTCATTGTTCTGGGGTAGGGTTGGGGCATTGGTAGGTTTCAAAAGCCCCCCAGGTAATTCTAATACACAGCCAGGGTTGAAAACTGTGTTTCCCAGCTGAGTGGTTCTCATGTAGCAGAATCACCTGGAAGCACCGTCCGACAGAATTCTGTGACGATGGAAGTGTCTGTAGGAGCTGTTTAATATGTTAGCCACATGTGGCTACCGAGGGCCTGAAATATGGAAAGTGGAACAGAGCACCTGACTTTTGATTGGTATTTAATTAGAGTTGATTTAAAAAAAAAATTTTTTTAACGTTTTATTTATTTTTGAGACAGAGAGAGACAGAGCATGAACGGGGCAGGGGCAGAGAGAGAGGGAGACACAGAATCGGAAGCAGGCTCCAGGCTCCGAGCCATCAGCCCAGAGCCCGACCTCACGGACCACGAGATCGTGACCTGAGCTGAAGTCGGACGCTTAACTGACTGAGCCACCCAGGCGCCCCTAATTAGAGTCGATTTAAACAGGCGCTCGTGGTTAGTGGCTACCATATTGGACAGTGCAGACCTGGGGCTGGGGGGCTGAAAAACACAGATGGGCTGGGCCCACCCCCAGATATTTGGATTCAGTAGGTCTAGGGTGGGACCTGGGGGTTTTGCGTTTTTAACAAGTTCTCAGGAGTTGTTCCTGCGGCTGGTCCAGGGATCACACTCTGAGAGCCACTGCAAGCATTGGAGATAAACGTTAACTGTTACCGGCCCATGTTTCCCACAGCTGAAAAGCAGGGACACCTTTCTAAGGGTACCGGTTGGAACCCTGCAGGGTCACAGACTAGGACTCAGAAGCTGGAGGGACTTCTTCCAATACCAGTCCTCTTGGTTTTTATGGCATGCCCTAGGAAACTAAGGATGGATGGGGAATGGAAAAGATAGAGGGCTCTCGATTCCAAATCAGTGCTTGCTCAGGAGCAAGAAAGCCACCAACATTAAGCCATGGAGGGATCTGTGCCAAGATCTGTGCTCCCCTCTAGAAAACTCAAAGTGGCGGGGTGCCTGGGTGGCTCAGTCGGTTAAGCATCTGACTTCAGCTCAGGTCATGATCTCGTGGTTCGTGGGATTGAGCCCCGCATCGGGCTCTCTGCTGTCAGCTCAGAGCCTGGGGCCTGCTTCAGAGTCTGTGTCTCCCTCTCTCTCTCTGCCCCTCCCTGACTCATGCTCTGTCTCTGTCTCTCAAAAATAAATAAACATAAAAAAAAATTAAAAAATTAAAAAAAGAAAACTCAAAGTGGCCGATTCACTCCAGATAATCCCACCGCGTTGGGCTGCATATTGGCACCGTTTTATCAACTCTGTTCCCTTGCCCTTTCCTCACTGCTGTTTATCTGAAGCAAGCATTCTTGAATTTTGTTGTGCGCCCGCTGTGTATCCCAGGCACTGAGCTAGAACAGAAGGGACGTAATTCAAAGATGAGTGGGGCACGGCTCCTGATTCTGAGGAGGGGCTCAGCGTCCAGTGGTAATAATACAAGCGACCAACGCACACAAAAAGAGCCAGGTTATCATGGGATGTGGGACTAAAAGGGGGACTGAGCTGGCCACCTGGCGTGGGGCACCAGCTGGCATCACATACATGCTTTCCCAGCCTCAAGTTCCGCTCGGTGTTATCACAGCTCTGCTCTCTCCTACTCAAGTCTGTCAGGGCCGGAAGCGACCCCCACAGAGGCTCAAACAGTTGACTTGCTCTCCCATAACCCCTACAGCAGCGGCAGGTGGGTCTGAGGAGGCCCGGAAGAGGCCTCGGGTCACCTGAGTGGCAGGCTCTGGACAGGACTCCCCCAAGGATGACAATCCCTGCAATATCACTCCTACCTGCATTCAGATTTAAGCACATTCCGAGGCTGAGTGTCGACAAATTCTAAATTATCCACATAGGACCTCCCCACCCACCACTAGTAACCGAAAGGCAGCCACGACAGCATACAGTTGTTGGTGTACTTTTGTGCAAACACTGCCGATGCATTCAAAAAAACGCATCCATAGGGGCGCCTGGGTGGCGCAGTCGGTTAAGCGTCCGACTTCAGCCAGGTCACGATCTCGCGGTCCGTGAGTTCGAGCCCCGCGTCAGGCTCTGGGCTGATGGCTCAGAGCCTGGAGCCTGTTTCCGATTCTGTGTCTCCCTCTCTCTCTGCCCCTCCCCCGTTCATGCTCTGTCTCTCTCTGTCCCAAAAATAAATAAACGTTGAAAAAAAAATTAAAAAAAAAAACAAAAACAAAAACAAAACGCATCCGCACCATTTCTCCTACCTGGCTGGGAACACTTTAGGGCGGGGACTCTGTTTTGTGTTTCAACTACTGACTTTTGTATGAGAAGGTGGCTAGCAGGCCAAGCGTCTTATTTCTCCTACAAACCACGGTTTCCAACCGTGTGTGGTGCTGTTCTCACCATAACCTGCCCTGAACTGACTGGCCAAGGCAGGAAGGCGTTTGCCGACCCAGTACAGCGCTGGCTGGTTAACAGGCCATTTGCGAGCTCCTGTACAGATGAACATGCGGAAGAAATTGTAATTCAGGGTGAGAGGGTGTCTGGTTTTTTCCTGAGGAAATCAGAACCCCAGGAGTGGGCCCCACACGTCCAAACGCTGAGAAGGTCACCAAGCTTGTGCACGAATGCCTGCAGTTTGGAATCCACTCTTTCACGGAGCCGAACACTTGTCATGGTGCACGGTGAATCTTAGAAAACGGGCTCTTCTGTTCCCCGGGAAGGAAGGGGAGCCATGCTGGGGGCGGGGGGTGGTGCGGGGAAGAGGGGACACCAGAGAGAAGGGAATGGATTGCTTCCTTCCTGATTTCTTGTCAGGGAAGTGTGAGGGGCTGACAGCCGGGAGGCACCAGAACTCTCAGCGAAGGGAGCCCGGAAGTGTGGCCAACTCCCCTTGCTTGTAGGAAGGGGCTTCGTACACGGACTTGGCCAAAACTCAACTCGACCAGCGGGTCAACCCCAGCTGCTGACCAAACAGCACACAGCAACCCCTCTTCCTGAGCGGAAATCGGTTCCGAGTGCCGGCCCAGCTGAGTAGCAGACAAAGGGCCGACCGGTGCTGGGGCCACAGTCCAGAGGTTATCAAAGAGGCCAAACTGGTCTTTGGGCTCTTGGAGGCCTGGGCCTCTGGAGGGAAGCTGGCAGGGTAGGGGGCACGGTCATTCTGCTCAAAATGAAATCACTGACTCTGAAAATACCCAAGAGCTCCAGCCCTTCCCTGCACCAGGGATGGAGAGAGCAGAGATAGCGTGTGGGTATCCCCATTTCCTGGCCTGTGCTGTACAACTTGTAGGGAGAGAGGGGCTAGGATGGCTGGGCCAAGCCGGGAACAAAGTTTGGAATCAGGCAATTCTCAGAAGAGCCTAGGCCAGACGGGAGCGAGAGACTCACCAGTTTGGAAGAGGTTAAGTTCACACTCCAGGTAGTCAAACATCTCCACTGTCAACTGGAAACTGGACCCAAGAGGAAAGAGAGCTTATACTCCATAGCTCAAGGCCAAGGCTTCCCTCCCCACGCTCTGTGTTTCTGTCTCTGTCCTCGGTGCACATGTGCATGCCTGCCTGCACGCGTGCATGCATACACGAGCATATGCACACACGCACAGACACACACAGACCCACACACTAGCTCCAATCCCTAGCCCCGCCTACACGGGTCTTAAGGCCATCTGAAGATCAAACAGGGTGAATTCCACAGTGACAGTGGCAGAGGAAAAGGGCAGGTACCATGCTGGGGTGGGAGGGCAGAAGGGGACACTGAGAAGGGAACCCTGGACAGACCGGAAGGGTTCTGGATGGGGCACCGGCACTAAGTCGCCCCACCCCAGCCACTGTCCCTGCCGTCAGGCCCTGTGTGACCCCAGCCAGAAGTGGCAACATTGACAAGAGCTTCCTTGCCCGTTGGGTCCACCGCACAAGGACGTCCACTCACAAGTTGTTAACGTCGCTCTCTCCAGCCTCGTCCAGCTGCCGGTCGCTCATCTGAAGGTTGCCAGGGAACCTGGGATTCTGGCAAGGCAGGCAGAGGAATGAAGTCAGGACAGAGCACCTCAACTAAGCTGACACCAGGCAAACTGTCTACACTGAGTTCGGGGAGCAGCAGGCTTGATTCTGTTCGTGTAACACCGACACCCTTCCTGGGGGTTGTCAGGGCACGCAACCTCACGTACACACAGACCCCTTGACCAGCTCACATCAAAGGACATCCACTGCCCATCATCACAGGTGAAGGCTCCACCCCTCTCTGGGAGCCAGGACAGGGCTCCGTCCTAACAATTTGGGTCCTGGGACCGTCTTCTAAAGATGCTCTCTGGTGCTGCAGCGAGAGCCAGCGGGACAGCGGTCGGACCTCAACCATCCACGAAGCACAGACAGTGCTGCATTCGCGCACCGCCAGTACATTCTGAATCCTACCCATGCTTCCCTCTGTCCTTCCGCCACTTTCTGAAGCTGCCCTTGGGAGTTTGGGGGGGGGGGGGGAGGGGATATTAGCTTTAGGGAAACATAATGAGTAAAATAAACTTGAAGGTAGGAAAACATTACATCATGCACCCCCAAAGTCAGGAAAAATTATTACGTATCAGCAATCTTGTCAAATATCCGTATCATTATCTCCTCCCCAGTGTGGCAAAGGGAAAGGTGTAGATGGGCACAGACAGATGGGTGGTTGCTCCATCAAGGGGGTCTCAATTCCACAGGGAGACAGAGATCCTCCACTCAGGCACCTCCTGGCTATCCACTGGCCCTCTGCCCGGCTGTCCCCTGCTGCCCCACGCTCACCACTCCTGTGCCTCCATCTCAGAGCTGGCTGGTTCCTTGAGCGCCCCCTTCTGGCCATGTTTACTTCCTCACTCGGGCTGGACATTACAGAGACCTGGTCCCCTTGTCCCCTGCCTTTCTTGCTGCCTGTCCTTCCACCACACTGCCGTCAAAACCTGGTGAACCTGGAGAGGGACTCAGAGCTGGAGTCACCCTTTAATCATGTTCTCCAGCCTTGGAGCCCCTTCACAGTCCTTGCTCCTGGCCCCGACGGGCTCCCTAATCCCTCAATGACTGTCCTGACCTCAAACTGTCCCGCTCTCAAACCCGGTGCCCATGCCATCGCCCTCCTCACGTGCCTTCCTCCTGACATCACTGGAACTCCCTGTGCATCCTTCTTCTCACTCCCTTCCCTGTTTTGAATGTACCAGCTGACCTTCTGTTTCTCCAGCTTCAAAAGAGGAGGGGCCAGCTCTTTCCTGACTCAGGATCAGCCACTCTTGTGTGCTATTCGATCCGATATAGGTTCTGGTTGATTCTGTCACTCATCCAAGCAGTCCTGATTGAGCGCCTGTTCTGGGCTAGACGCTGGACAGCACATAGGACACAAGGAGACACGCGCTCCTGTCCTCTGTCCTCCTGAAACCCTCAGTCCAGAGCACCTGTGGCCTCACTCTGTCTCCCTGGGCTCCTGTGCATCTTCCTATTGCCCAGGTCCTTCCCACAGGCCCCACATCTCCCTAGCTGTTGCCCCCCACCCCTCCTGCCAGTCTTCAGAGAGTCCCCGCCGCTCTTGCCTGTCCCAGGGACCACCGTCCCGATCAGGCTCTGACCATCTTCCACTCTGAGCGGGATGGTCTCACCTAGCTGCCCAGCCACCCCCCGTCCCTGCCACCCTGCACCTGACTGTTCCTCACACTAATGTGGATCTGTGGCTCCTTCCATAGGCTCAAGTGACCGCTTTGCACAGTTACAGGGTGCTGCAGGTAAGAAGCCTCCTCCCTCTGACTGATCGGTGCACTCCTGACTGGCCGACCCTTCCTATGTATCCTTATGTGCCACTTGGTACCGAGCACAACGGTTTTACCTGCATCGGGCACATAAGAAATACTGTCTAACGCCATACGTGGACAGAAAGAAGGTTCTGTGTGGAAACTCACTATATAAAATGGAGGGATCGTTTTTTAGAAACAGTCAAGGCGGTGCTTTCTAAAACACCTTCCTAAGGCAACCCAGGGCACCGGGTTCCTCTCCAGAAGGGGCAGGAGACGTGGGCCAAACGCCCAGTTCCGTGTCCCATCCCGGGGGCCTGACTGCAGCTGTCGTGTGAAATCTCTTTCTCTCACTGGATATGGTACAAACACTCCCTGAGGGGCCCTGGCTGCCTTATTCTCGTAAAGACCTGACAGGCTCAGGGAGGTGCCAGGGGACCGTAGGGGAGGAGCTGGGGGAGCCGGGGGTGGTGGCAGAATTGTCCGCAGACTCACTTTGGTGTGATATTCCATCTTTGTTCTTAGCAGTCTGAGGTAGGTGCTGCACAGCCGTCCATAGCCCTCACTCAGGTGGCCCTTTCCAGAAAAGAAAAGAAAACAAGGGTCACCACTAACAACACCTGGGTGAGAGACTGATGGCCGGGACTTCTTCTATAAACAATACATAGATTTTTTTTTTTCTCAATTCTGGAAAACAACAAATGGCCATTGTGGAAAATTTGGAAAACACAGACAAGTACAGATACACACACATCAGCCTTCATCTAGACAGAAGATACAATCATGGCTAACATTCTGGGGCACAAAGTGTTATTTGATCTAATTTTTTCAATTTAAATAGACCTATTTTAAAATGGATATTCTTTATTTTTAATTTTTTTTAATGTTTACTTTTGAGGGGGGGAGATGCAGAGAGAGAGAGAGAGAGAGAGAGAGAGACAGAGAGAGAGAGAGAGAGAGAGGGAGGGAGACACAGAATCCAAAGCAGGCTCCAGGCTCCCAGCTGTCAGCACCGAGCCTGACGCAGGGCTTGAACCCACAAACTGGGAGGTCATGACCTGAGCCAAAGTCAGACGCATAACTGACTGAGCCACCCAGGAGCCCCTAGACATTTTTTTTTTAAGTTTTATGTATTTAAGTAATTTCTGCACTCAACACATGGCTTGAACTCATGACCCCGAGATCAAGAGTCATATGCTCTACTGTCTGACCCAGCCAGGTGCCCCTAAATAGACATTAAGTTTTTTTTAGAGCTGTTTTAGGTTCCCAGCAAAATTAGGCCAAAAGTACAGGGCTCTCCTATATACCCCCTGTTCCCACACATACATAGCCACCCCCACTGTTAACATCCGCACAAGAGAGGACATTTGTTCCAACCGATGAACCTATACTGACTCATCATTATCATCCAAAGTGAAATTTGCATTAGGATTCACTCTTGGTGTGATACATTCTATGTTTTGACAAATGCATAATGTCCTGTACCTGCCAATTACAGTATCATACACAATAGTTTCACTGCCCTAAAAATCCTCTGAGTCCTACATTTATTTTAAAATTAAAAATGGGAGGCACCTGGTGGCCCAGTTGGTTGAGCATCCAGACTCTTGATTTCGGCTCAAGTCATGATCCCAGGGTCATGGGACCAAGCCCTGCATCAGGCTCCTAGTCCTGCGTCAGACTCCACACTGAGCAAGGATCCTGCTTGGGATTCTCTCTCTCTGTCAGCCCCTCTCCCTTTCTCTAAAATTAAATTAAAAAAATTTTAAAAATGGAACCCATTTTTTAACTTAATATACTTCTTTTTCTCTATCTTCTCACATTTTCTCCTGTACCATTATTTTCAGTGATACTATTATCCGTGTGTAATGTAATTTATCCAACGAACTCCCTAGTGTTGTATGTTTTACTTGTAGGCAAGTTTTTCTGTTATAAGCTCTGTTTCAACGAACATTTTTACGGTATAATCTTGTGTACACACAGGAGAACTTCCTTTGCATGAATTCTAGACAAGGCTTCAGATTTAAGAATTTAAAGTCTCCCACCCTTAGTAATCACAGTCTGGCTACAAGCCATTTCCTTCCTTCTGTCTCTCTCTCTCTAACTGCAGGAGAGGAAACACCTCCTCCAGATGGACTCCAGCAGACTAAGAGAGGCTAGAACATTCCGCATGGAGGGGGGATTGAAATGGGATGGATCCCGGCTGGGGACAAATAAGCATTCCCATGGAGGCTGCCCATGCGGTCGTGTCCTGGGTGTCTGGGAAGAAGCTGGAATTAGCAGGGTGATGCTTGGAGAACTGCCTGTTATACCCAAAGGAGGAAGGACATGGTGGCACAAAGAACTCTCTTTTTTTAATGTTTTATTTTATTTTGAGAGAGAGAGAGGGAGAAAGAGAGAGAAAAGGGGAGGGGCAGAGAAAGAGGGAGACAGAGAATGCAAAGCGGGCTCTGTGCTGATGGCAGAGAAGCCAATGCGGGGCCCTAACTTACGAACTGTGAGATCATGACCTGAGCCAAAATTGGAAGCTTAACCGACTAAGCCACCCAGGCGCCCTGGCACAAAGGACCCTTGAGCTGAATAGTTGTAGTTCTCACATGAGGTCTGACTTCTACATTTTCTTCTGGGTGCATCTATATCCTCTAAGGTAGAGGAACCCCACTGAAACATGCCTCAAAGGGCACCAAAGGGAGTTGGGTCATCAGAGGAAGTTAAAGATATCAATGCCAGAGATGACAGTATTTCCTCATGTATTCATTTCTATGAAGAACCATATTTTATGAGTTGCACATTATACTTGTTCATCATGGAAAAATTAGAAAGTAGCAGAAAGACAAAGGGAAACTATGCTCATCATCAAAGGCAACTGTATTTCATATGAAAATGCACCAGAATCAAAAACCAAAAGATGAATGGATCATAGACATCAATGTAAAATGTAAAACTATAAAAAACCCTAGGAGGTAACACAGATGACCTTAGGTATGGCAAAGACTTTTTATTTTATTTTATTTTATTTTATTTTATTTTTATTTTTTTA